TACATTGAGTTTCACAGGTATAATTTCTGAGTAATTTCCATTTGTTCTGCTTAAAAAAACTTTCAAATATACTTCGGTTTCATTTTTGACGTGTTATATGTCAACTACAGGTGCTTGGCTGCTAAGGGTGAAGAATCTAATGAATGTGAAAAGTTTGCAAGATACTACCGCTCTCTCTGCCCAGGTGAATGGGTGAGTACCAACATTGTTCTATTTCTGCTAGTGTCTGTTATGGTTGCTGGCAGTAGGCTGGAAAATTTTGCATTTTACATTTACATGATAGTTAATAAGCATTGTGATCACTGATAAGTTGTTTCTTTACCAAGTTTAGTTGTAATCATGACTATGCTTTAATATATGCAATGGTGTTTTTGATGTTGCTTTACACACAATGCCTATCAATCTCCACCATAGGAGCTAATTTGAATAATGATTCCTAGGTACCAGAGGGGCATTAATTTACGGATTATTAGTTCCAATACTGTTCTGACTGTTACATGCAATGTTCTCTATTGTATTTATGAAGATTGTTGCAAAACTTGGATTCCTTGACCATTATTTTCTGTACAACTTTTAGAGGAAGTAGGCATGGCATAAAAAGTAAAACGACAGAATCTAAAGAAAATAATAGTCCAACGGCTCTAAAGGAAAAAGACCCTAAAATAGAAAGGCAAAACAAAAAGTAAAACAACAGAAACTAAAGAAATGTAAAGGCACCAGGACCATTATTTCACTTTTCAAATTACACCAAATTATGCTCATAAAATTTCTTGTGTATTTCCTTTTGTTCTTCTAGGGTACGAAGCCACAAATGAAAAATGGGTCTGAATAATTTTTGTTCAGTATGTTTAAGATATCTGTATCTCATATATGGTTTCTGGTTGAATTGCTGCAGATTGATAGGTGGAATGAACAGAGAGAGAATGGAACTTTCCCGGGTCCCCTGTGATTTCTCATTTGGAACATTGGAGAACTGTGTCTGGCCTGGAGAGCACATGTTGCTCCCTTTTGTCTTCTGTCTAGTTTCAATGTTTTTCATCGAATCTTTTTAATCAATAAAGGTACAAATGTTGATCTGTTCTAATTTATTGCGTTGAGTGGTTGGCAAAGAACATGAATGAGACCTGAAAGTTCTCATGTTTTAATCTATGACTCTGTTTTCAAGTCGCTTGGCTAAAATCTACGTTTACCATATGTGACATTGTTTTCTTAGTTTCGTTATAGGAGCCACTTTTTATGTCTGTCTTGGTGTTTCACTGCTGCTAAATGTCCGCCTTTTGGATGCTTGCAGGGATGTGAACCACCAGTTAAACACTTGTACAATCTTTATTTGAGAAGCTACAAAATTGTAGCTTTAACTTCTATAAAAACATGAATAACGCCTTTAGTGTTTGTTGTACTAGAGGTTATTTTGAAAAAGGTTAATTTCAAACAAGTTGTCTTCCCTTTTTCTTTTCTTTTTTTCTTTGAGGATCTGTTTAAAAATTTTATCTTTTAATTAATATTTTTAAAAATTAACAGTTGGATTAAAAATTTTATTTATATAGGTTATGCATGTCAATTTTTGTATTGAATACTTATTATTGTTTGAACGAAAAAGTTGTATTTATTGATATTTATTTAATAGTGTTAAATTTTGTATAACCAACAAATTAGTTAGGCTTATTAGATTAATTCAAAAATTGACATGCAAAATTTATATAAATAGAAATTTCTATTAAAAATTATACAAATGAGTGAATGTTTCACCTTTATCCTTTCACCCTCTAAGCTTTATTCATTGAATTATTAGATTCATGGAATCATCACATTTATGGAATTGGCAAGCTTTGTTCAATGTTCCACTTGGTTCATAAATCCTCCATTAAGTTTGTTCAAGTAACATTTATTTTCCCTTAGGGGCATCGTATGAAGAAGAAACAAAGACAGAGAAATGGAAGATTAGAAGGCTCAAATTATTTGCCATTGCCTCTCTTCTCTTCTTACTTCATTGTGTTATCTTTATATATCTCATCATTACTTCCTAATACTCAAAGTATCTCTTATTCTATAACACTTTTAATCCAACAATTAATTTTTGAAAATATTAATTGGAAGAGGAGTTTTTAAGCAAATCACTCTTCTTATTTTAAAATTCGGGCCTAAGGCACATAAAATCTTAAACTTGATAATTGAACTTAAATGACAAACTCCAAGAGCTGGACTGTTGGACCACCGTCTCCAAGAGCTTGCAGTGAATAGAATCAGAGGCCAAGCCCAATCCATATTTGCAGATGGAGTTTTAATTTTTTTTATTCTCTATTCATAAAGAAAGGTTTTTTTTTTTTTCAATTTTTAGATTGCATAATAAGACAAAACATTCTTCTATCCCTTCACCTACCTTCACATTTGAAATTTTGAACCCAAAGTCTCTTTGATTGAAATGAAATTCCTATTGAATCATCTAACTCCCTAATTTGGGTGGATTAGTTTGAGACAAACAAAATTAAAGAAAAGGAAGAATAAAAGGGATGAAAACACAAAATGAGACGTTGGATTCCAAGTTTAACACGTCTTGATTCTTGAATCGGTCATTTTGGCAATATCTATATACATAATCATTGTCACGTGAAGATTAATGCATTGAGAAAAATTAATTCTTTTTCTTGGTTTGATTTCTCCAAACTTGGTAACAGTGTAACATGCTTGTTAACATTGGACACCTAACAAAAATAAGACAGAAAACGAAGAAAGAACATAAAAGAATTTCCAAATAAGTTGACAAAAGTATCCGTTACAATTCTGCAAATCTGAAGTGATATGATATTTATGGATAATAATAGGGTTAAAGCATATAAGCATCCTTCTATTTTTAGCATTTTGTTCATTCTCTTTCTTGTATTAAGGAATTGTTCAATTTCATCCTTATACTTCAAGATTTTGTTCAATGTAGTCCTTCCACTTAAGAAAAAAGATTCGATGTCACCCATATCTGATGCCATTAGAGACACACCACTGACGGTGTTATTTTGACTGTTATCTTACAGTCAACTAGTTTAAGCCATTCTCTTTTATTTTAAACCATATCGGTCCCAAAAGCATTGTTTAGTGAACCTTTTTTTTTCTCAAATATAAAGACGAATTGAACCAAATCTTGAAGTCGAAGGATGATATTGAGCAATTACTTAATACAAGGAAAAGAATGAACGAAATACCCAAAATAGAGGGCTGTTCAATTTTTTTTTTGAATATGACGGAATTTGGAGAATGGTTTTTTTTTTTTTTTTTTTTTTAAGGGAAATAATTAGCAGGTTAGTATTGTTAGATGTTAGCAACTGGAGGTTTGATCCCCAGATTTGATAAACAGTCCACCGACCTCAATGAGATGCACGGCTATTAGACCGCTTGGTGGAGTTCGGGAATGGGTATTAATTCTTATAAAAACTAGAATTAAAGTCTTAAATCTTAATCTTAATAAATCTACATCCTATCTAACACAATTAATACTAAGGGTGCAGAAGGCTGTTCAATTCGTTGGCTTTAACACAAAGAAAATTATGTAATTTGAAAACATGTAGTAAGCACTAAGGCGCGTGAGCTAAACATCTAACCATCAAATCGCCTCAACACAATTTCTCTTTTTCTGTCCCTCGCTTTCTTTTCTTGGAGTATTGCGTAAATAACACATGAAGTAGAAAGAAAAGGGAAAAAAAATTTTTTTGAACATGTTGACAAGAGTAGAATTCTAACTGTTGCTCAAGTAAGGGAAAATGCACTTTAACGTGATTTTATTATCATTGGGTTTAAAACCCCAAGTTTAAAAGAAAAAGGGAAAATTGACTTTATTTTACTATAGAGAGACGTAAATTTTAGCAAATAGAAACCCAAATATTACCATATAAAGAAATTCATTTATAGATGCCGCAAAACAGACGTGCTTTGTCTTTGAGTTCAAAACAATAAGTCTGAGTCGTGTGGGAAAGGAATGCCTTAATCAAACTTGGCTGAAAGTTTCTTTGCCTTCGAAGTTTAATCTTGCTTATAGGGTTTAAGTAACATGCATTTAAAGTTTAGTGTTTTGTGATTTGAATTATATTATATTGTAAAATATTAATTATTGAAAATAAAAAGAACTTTTTTAATATTAAAAATTTCTAAATTTAATAATTACTTATTTTGTCTCAAAATAATAGAGATTTTTTATTTTATCTTTAAATTAATAATTTGAAAACAAGTTTTGTTCTTACCTATTTTACCTTTAAAATAAAAAATAAAAATAAAGAGAGTTTTTTTTATATATAAAACGTATAATTAAAATTAAAAGATAATCATGAGGTTTAACTAAGAAAAAAAGATTATTATTTTGAGATAAATTTCACATAAAAAAAGGTTTATTTTAAGATTTTGGGATAAAGTGAGTAATATTTTATTGTCTAATGTAATCATATAAATCACTTTTTTGATTTATTTATTAGATAAATATTTTAATATTTAAGAAGTTAGTGCATATCAATCTTGATTTTAAAAAACAAGGACGGTGTTATAAGGATAATTTTTTTATAGTACATTTTTATACAACTTTCATACGTCATTAAATGAATAGATACATTCAATATCACGAGTTTCACATGAATAAAAAAAACTAATCATTTAAATGATACGTCAATTATACCAAAAGGTTGTCTCAAAAATCATTTTCCCAAAAACAATTGGAGTCTCAACTTAGATTTGGAAACTAAAATCTTATATTGTTAAATATTGATATCTTAATTTGAAAACATATTATATATTTTAATATATCAACATTTAATAAAATAATTTTTTAAATTTTAAATTGAGTTTTAATTAAATAAAATGATGTAATTTAAGATTGAGAGTACAATTATTTTTAAAAATAAAGATTGATATATTAAATATTACGTATTTTTTGTAAAACCACAACCAAAGAACTCCAAAATGAGATTTCTAACTTTATATATAAAATTACTATAAATTTACTATGGTTTTATTCAGTTTTTAGAAAAAAAAAATCAAAAAATACCAAACACACACACACACATATATATAAGTACTGTAAAGCTACCGGAAAAAATATGTAATCTCAAATGTACCCTAAAACTGGTTTACACTGTTAGTGATGTTCACTAATGGTGCCAGCAGAAGGATGACATTGAGCAATTATTTAATATGAGGATAAGAATGAACAAAACATCAAAGTAAAGGGATGTTCATTCTCGAAGAAAATATAGTAATTTGAAAACGCGTGACCCGCGCGTGTATAAGTCAAATCACCATTTCCTGAATACAGGCGCTTCCATTTTCATGTAAACGTCACTCTATATAACCACCCAAACCTCAAATCTTTCTCTCCACAATTTCAGCCTTCTTCAGTTTTTCGATTTTCTCGACGTCCAAACACCCGATTAAGCCAACAACTAGAATGGCATTCCGATTGAGCAATAACCTAATCGGAATCCTCAACATCATAACGATCTTGCTCTCGATACCGATCATCATTGCCGGGGCCTGGCTTAGAAACAACGGCTCGACGGAATGCGCGCGCTTTCTCGACGCTCCGGTCATAGCTGTCGGTGTCTTTCTGATGCTCGTCTCTCTGGCTGGCTTGTTCGGTGCGTGCTGTCGCGTGAACTGGTTGCTCTGGCTGTACCTTGTTATCATGTTTCTCCTCATCGTCATCGGCCTCGGTTTCACGATTTTCGCATTTGTGGTGACCAATGAAGGAGCCGGAAAGGCGCTGTCCGGAAAAGGGTATAAGGAGTACCGGCTAGGGGATTATTCCAACTGGTTGCAGAAGAGAGTCAACAATGGTAAGAATTGGAATAAAATCAAGAGTTGCTTGTTCGTCAGCGGGGTTTGCTACACTTTTAGAGACAAGTTTCTCCATGATAGCACCCAGAAATTCTACCAGGAGCATCTCACTGCCATTCAGGTATTGTATTTTCGGATCTGGATTTCTTCTTTTTCATGAATTCTGCTTCAAATTAGGCAAGATTGTTATGGACGGTGTTTTCTTTGGTAACCTTAATTAGTTGTTAAAAATAATAGTTAAAGCAATTTCTTGAACCTTAATTTCTTGAAAACAATATTTGGATTTAGCTGTTGAAAGTTACTTTACTGTTCATATGTTTAGTGTGAGGACTAAATTTTTTAAGTGAAAATGACTACCTTGTTGTTTGATTTATAATTTGACTGCTGTTGGTATCGGGTGTTTATTATGCATAAAGGTGGTGTTTTTATTGGCCAGCAACATAGATGCAGAAAGGTGGTTTGATGCTGTCTTTTCTTTTTCTGCTTCTGTAGTCTTTTGTTCTGTTCATTTTTATTTTTATTTTTTTGTCTTTTTTAAGCTTAATCTTTAGGATAAAAGTCTTACTTTCAGCTTTTAGTTCAAAGGTTGTTATCTTCTCATATTTGAATTTATATAATGAATCAAAGGTAGCTTCCTTTTTCTTTTCTATTCCCCTTTTTTTTTTTCTTTTTTTTTGGTAGATTATAGCAGTTTTGTGGTAATATATATCACCAGACTCATCGCAAGTTCGCAACTTTGGGTGTTCTAAAGTGATTTACTATGACATGAAAAATAATTGGGCTGCTAGACATGGATCAATCTGGATAATTGAATTCATCCTTGTAGTTTTGTTCATGAAACAAACATTTTTTATAAAGAAGGATAACTCTAAGATGAAAGAATTAGATGATTCTTCTGTCTTTCTTTGGACTGCTGTATCTTTCTCCTTTTGTGCTTTAGCCAATGTTTTTGGGGTTTGGTGCTTCAACTTGTAATTACCCTTAAGTTGTCTAGTTAAATCATAGTGTTGAACAAATGTGCAGCTGCTGGGTAGTTACGAAATTCATGTTTGTTGATACTCTAACGTGACATTTTTTGAAGGATATCCTGCTCTGATATTTTGATCATAGATTTGGTATTGCTTTTCTTCTTATACCTCTGTGTTGGTTATTGTTTGTTTCTCCAAATGCAGTGGATAATTACTGTATTAATTATAAGTGATATCTCTGTTATCTTCTATGAAATTCAAATTTGTTTTTGAATTGTGTGATTCTACTCTGATTATCGTGCTCCACTTTTCTTATTTGCTCGAGTTTTACATGCTTTCTAACTCGTTTAGTAAATGGCAGTCTGGTTGCTGCAAACCATCAAATGACTGTGGATTCACCTATGTCGGCCCAACTAACTGGACCAAGACTAATACGGACTACACCAACCCTGATTGTGATGCCTGGGATAATAATCCAATTGACTTGTGCTTCAATTGCAATTCGTGCAAGGCTGGTCTGCTAGACAACATCAAGGGTCAGTGGAAGAAAGTTGCCATTGTCTGCATTGTGTTCCTCATTTTCCTCATTTCTACCTATACCATTGGCTGCTGTGCATTCAGAAACAACAGGAGAGACAAACATGACTATGGATGGAAGGATTGAACCAGATATTTTCAGATCAGAACAGATATATCAGCATGTAGGCATGGTTGGGCTTCCTTACCTGGATGTTTTACATTTTAGAACATATTTGTTTTGTATGTGACCATTTCATTTGGTTTGCTGGTAGTATATTATCTGAGAACAAATCAACATATGGACGTTGCGCAAGTGGGAAGCAAAAATGTGAAAGTTAAAGGACATCTTAAGCCGCCTTTGAGACTGGTAGAGATGAAAAGTAGGTTCCTCATTTCACCCACAGACATCTCAATTATTGCAATCAAGTTTTTATTGAGCATCAGAAAATTTCAATCCTTGCAGTCACATTGTTGGCCCAATCTATTAAAGGGTGCTAAACAATTTGAACATTTTCTATTTATTCTTGGTTTCTAAGCCAGAAGTGGTTCTTCAAGATCAACTTTGCAGATCCTCTTATCCAAGGATTCATCTTTTAGGACTTGCTTTGAATCCATGCCTTGTTTGACCTCTTCAAGGTCTTGAGCTTTTCCCCATAGGACAATGTACAATCCAATTATCACAGCGAAAGCACCAAGTAGGCTGAACAGACCAAACAAGAAATCACGGTTAATATAACTTACCACGGTTAATATAACTTAGCAGGAATAAGGGATTCGAATCTAAAACTTGTTGGGATACAGAGAACATATTACCCCCCAATATATGTCTCCTCGTGTAGGAATAAAGCAGCAAAGATGGTGACAATAATCGTGCATAAAGGATTAAACATGGCAGCAAAGAGTGGACCTCTTTGTGAAATGCACCAGGCTTGAACAAAAAATGACACAGCCGATACAATACCCTGTTGATGGAAATTCCATGTTTATTTATGTTGTTAACATCCAGGAGTAAAGATGATCCAAAAAGGCTAGTAAACGAAAACAGCTTACTGTGTACAAACAACAACCAAGTTCAAGCATTGAATTAAGGCTCCAGGCCTCTGGATTTTCCCCTGCAAAAAATGCCACTGCTGCGGATTCTAATGTGGCCAAGAAACACATCCAAGTAGATGTATATAGATGATCTGGACAGTTTGCTGAGATACGAACCTGTTCAAAAATTGGGAAAAGGTTACCTACAAATCAGAAACTTAATATGCTGAAGGCATATAAAAATGTTAGAGGGAGTACTACCTGTAAGATTATCCAAAATGACCAGAAAAAGCTACTCCCAAGGAGGAGAAGACAGCCGAGCAGCCAATTTTCTCCTTCTGATCTAAAGAGAGACTTTGGAAGATGGAATTCAGCGTTCAGCAGCTTTGGACCTTTGAGCAATGCCATACAGATAGCTCCACTCACACAGATGATTGTTCCTAGTATCTTGGCTATGCTTCTCAAGCTTCGAATATTGACTTTCTCCAACCTGGTCAAGAGTAGAAAAATATGTACAAGGATTCTAAAATATAATGAGGAAAATGAAAATGGAAATTCTTACTGAAAACTACTTTGACATGGCCTAAACATTAATATAAGTTCTGAAATTTGCAATGATCCTAATTTAACACAATTGGGAGTCAAGTATTTACCCGAAAAATGTAGCCAGAAGAAAGGTGACTGCTGGGATTAGATTAATCATGGCACTAGCTATTGTTGAAGAGGACCTGTATATACCCTCAAAGTAGGCATTCTGATTTGCGGTTACGCTGCAAATGAAAATACACAAACAAAATGCTAAGTAAGTGAAGATCGTTAACATTACTTGACTTGAAACAAAGAAACAAATTCAGTGAGCCATCTACCCAATAAGGGAGGCAAGAAATATCCAACCAAAACCCTTCAATCCCAAATTAGTCCTGCATGAATTTTTCCTGGCAACAAAGGAAGAAAGTAAGGGAAAGAAAGAAAGAAATGTAGAAATTAAGAAGAAGAAGCTGAAGCTGACTTACCTTCTTGAGACATAAGCTACTGGTGCAACCATCAAGGTTGCTATGCCCTGCCTGTAAACAACAAAGATCCTGGGACTCAACCCTTGTAGAAAAGCAGCTCTTGTGAAAAGAGCAACCCCTGCATAAGTGAACTGTAATCCGATCATGGCCAAGGCAGGCTTGGAGAAATCCATGCCTCCCATCCTTATCTAAGATTTAGATCAAAGTGAGCAAATGATGCATATTCAGTCCAATATATCGGCCAAAGTATTCATCGCAGAAGAAAACGTTTTGGGTGTGGACAAGTAACATAATTTATCAGAGACAAAAAAAGAACCATACTTGAATCTACATAACATGCTGCAAAATGATTAAAAGTGACGCGGCTAGATCAACATGGCATGATTTTATATTTAGTTTGGTCCCCCATGAAATCAATATAATAGATTCTATAACTTCAAAAGTTTATGCTTAATATGATCCCTTTCGAACAGATCAAAGGAGATAGGATACTAACGTGCTGTCAATACGATTAGCACTGACTAATCTGAGTTGGAGTGTTGGAGCTACTCTATTATTGTTGTTGTCTTTTTATTTAGTTTGGATTGGCCTATTCTTGAAGGAAAATGTATAATTGATACATTTTTTTGTTTGACATATTTTTTAGTTCCATTGTTAAAATCTATAGCTTTAAGTTTATTTTTTTGCCTTTAATTCCAAATTGAAAAATAATTTTTTTTAAATAAATATGTTATATAGTAGGATGAATTTGAGAGTATCTATACCAATATTTTTTTTAAACGTGACTTGAATATGACTTTCTAAAGAGACTGCACATGTTAGAGTTGAAAACAATTGTCCACCAAAAGACAAGGTTTGGCTGATCTATAGAGAAGGATCTAGAAAAAAATAATCTAAAAGCATCCCACAATTTTAAAAGTCTCTGTTTCGAAGATTTAAGTTGATAACGTTATGGTTCTTTTTATGTGTAAGAAAACAAAAAGACGAACATTCACGTGGTGTCTGAAGGGGTGAGATTTATGTAAGAAAGTAGTGTTTAAGAGGGAAGAGAAGAGTAAATCTGGATTTGGGAGAAAAATGGATCTGTGCATTTGATGTAAGAATACTATCTAGTAGTAAGAGGAGGCGTGTCTTCTTCTGGTCTTAATTATCTTCTTTTATCAATTTTACTTGTTATACTTTTATTTAATATAATTTTTAAAAAAATTATATTTAAAAATTTATAAAAACACATTTTTTATTATTAAAAATTTATATTTACAGTTATTAAAAAGAAGGGGAATAGAAAAGAAAAAGGAAGCTACCTTTGATTCATTATATAAATTCAAATATGAGAAGATAACAACCTTTGAACTAAAAGCTGAAAGTAAGACTTTTATCCTAAAGATTAAGCTTAAAAAAGACAAAAAAAAAAAATAATAAAAATGAACAGAACAAAAGACTACAGAAGCAGAAAAAGAAAAGACAGTATCAAACCACCTTTCTGCATCTATGTTGCTGGTCAATAAAAACACCATCTTTAGGCATAATAAACACCCGATACCAACAGCAGTCAAATTATAAATCAAACAACAAGGTAGTCATTTTCACTTAAAAATTTAACTAAAAAGCGACTCGATGGCCGCGCGCTTCATTTTAGGAAGGTAAAATGTTCACCGTTCTAAGAATCGAATTCTCAATTATTAACAACTAATTCAAATTAACTTTCTAACCATTATCTTCGTAAAAAAATAATAATAATAATAATATTAGATTTAGCCTTTTCAAAAAATAAAGTTACCCAATGAGTGCGGTTACAAATATCAAGGAAAAACTTCTTAATCCCAATGTAGCTCCAGTTGACGTCCTCCTCCTGTTACAGAAACAAAAATAAGCAACGGGAATGAATTTGTTTTTGGGAGATCAGAGGCAGAGAAACTGAGAGGAAAACAGTTGATGGTGATCCTATTACCTTAAGAAATAAGTAATGGGTGCGGTTACCAAAGTTGCTACTGCTTGCCTGTAGACGACAATCACTGTGGGACTCATCCCTCGCAGTGTAACAGCTCTTGCGGAGAGAGATAAAACTGCATATATGAACTGCAATCCTAACATGGCCACTACAGGCTTGTAATTTTGCCACACACCCATTCCCCAGTTGCTTTCTTTTCTCCAGAGTCCTAGTTTCTAAGATTTAAGTTGATAACAAAAAGACACATACACGTGTCAGAAGGGGTAGGTTCTGGAGTGAGTAAGGAAGCAGTGTTTGGGTGGGTGGGTGTGAGGGAGGGGAAAAGGGAGGTTAGTTTTATAGTAAACGGTAGTGACTGAAAATTCCGCTTTGATTGTTTTGATGGCAGGGAAGAGTGAATTTGGATCGGGGAGGAAAATGGATCTGTGAATTTGATAATAATATGTTGAGAAGGAAGAGGATGCGTGTCTTCCAATTGCATGAGGTCTTAGTTGGGAATGAAATATGATTGATTTGTAATTTTGACCGTTAAAGAATGTACTATTATGGAAAGTCAATTCGGCTTGTTTGGCATATGCAAATCCTCTCTTGTCATCCTTATCTCTAACAAGTATATATATATATATATATATATATATATGTGTGTGTGTATAGTGGTTGTAAATCTTAATTGTTTTTTTTTTTATTAGGGTAAGTTGTTCGGGGGAAGACAGGAGGATCAAACTTTTACCATGATGAAGAAAGTTTACATTAAACTGTTAGATCACTAGGCCAACAAACCTTTTTCTAATCTTAATTGTTAAAAGTGAAAAAATAAATTGTTAAAATTTTATGTAAGTGTAATATATAAAATCTATATTTAAATAAATATCATATACATATATATTCTTGTTTAATATTTAAGGTTTTTGGATCCGCTTATAGTATTATGAGATTAATTTTTCTCTAATTTCGTTAATAGTAAGTCATTCACATTAAAATTAAGTGATTTATAAGAAATTACTTCTTCAGTAATCTTTTTAAAAAGTCAAATCTTGAGTAAATTCTTTTACTAATTAAGCCGTAATTCTTTGAATCAGAAATATGATATTTAAGACATGTTTTGCTTGGTTATTACTCTAGAACACAACTTATAATTCATATTTAATGATTATTGACTGATTGTTGTTATCTATATAATTGCCCATTTAGAGAGAACAACTCTATATGCTTTTACCGCGCATAACCAAATAGAACCTTATTTACAAGAGAAGTTTCTTTTAGGCATAATTTAGTGTTAAGCCCCTCAACTTTTCTCATTTTCTCACATCAGCCCCTTTACAAAAAAATGATCTTATAAGCCCTTAAACTACCCAATTGATGGACATTAACCCTTTTGCTACTAGAAAATCTAACGGAGGTTTGATGTCTACTTATGTGGCATTTAAAAAATGATTAATTATACATATAGCCCTTAAATTTATCAAATTTCAAATGGAATTGATCCCTAAATTTTAATAAATTTTTGGCAAAGAAACACGCTCTTACTTAATTATTTCTTAATATTTTCATAAAATCGTTTTTTATAAAACATTTTCCTAGAAAGAAAGAAAATGGGTGAATGAAGTTCATTTTGCTACTTGGGCCTCTATTTATTTTTTACATTTTTCTACCAATAGCCTGAGTTTGGGTCCTCATAGTTGATTTCTTTTGTTCTCATCTATTTCCTTACTAGTATTCAAGCATGTGAACTTGATTTGTGTAACAATAAACTGTTGTTCTTGATTGTGATGGATTTAAAATAAAATGTAATTGGGAATATATACTTAGCCTATTTTTTATAATATTGATATGATTTTTATAAATTCCCAAATACTGTGTTTTGAATGTGTTTCCTTTTATATTGAAAGCCTATTTAATTATGTAATTACCTACTTAATATATTTCATTTTGTTGAGAATAGCAAAAACAGACACTATATTCTAGGTTGAGGTTTCAACCCTTAGCATAGGGTCCAAAACCCCTTATAATTCTATTTTTGGGCAGAATTGCAAGACACTATCTAGGTTCCAACTCACAAAAATCAGGGTGCAAGACCATGAACATACTATCCATTGAAGAATGAAACAAAGGTTTCAACCCTTGGAGGCAGGTTCCAACCCTTCATGGTGAAAACTTTTAATAACTTACTATCCTTGGATTATATTCTTTTCAATTATGCTCCAATGGTTATAAACCATTGATTGAGCAATTTCAAGATATAAAATCAAATATGGAAAAATGGAGAAACTATAGAAGAAGAGCATTCAACTTGAAAAATCAAGAGAGTTTGAGCTTTCAACTTGTTCTTTGAGAAGTTACTTATTTTCTGCATTTGTTCTCATTCTCTTTCATTGTAACAAATGAGAGAGGGGTTGGAAAACCTTGTTAGATTTAGTAATTCATCCTTGAGGTATAGGAAGGAATGAGAGATTTGTAACAAGGGGATTGAATGGTTTAATAGCACTTGTAAGCTATTAAAAAAGTAATTGGGTACCCTTGTTAGATTTAGAGAAAACCATCCTTGTGGTATATGATTGGGTTTGTGAGAGATTGTAACAAGCGGTTGAATTGTTGAAAGTGGATAGTGTCGACAAAGCTATTACGAATGGTTGCCTCTACATCCAAAAGTTGAAGGAAAGCTTTTGAATCCAAAGCAAACTCTCAAGTAGGTAGCTTGAGAAGTGGATTAGGCACAAATTATAACCGAATCATTATCAATCCTTGTGTTTGAGTTTTTTCTTTCCTTAACTTTTAATTTCTGCACTTTAAATTAGTTGTTTGCAATTGCTTGTGCTTGTTTATTATTTTGTTTTTGAAAATTACATAAAGTTTTTGAAAACCCAACTCACCCCCCTCTTGGATTGCCAACATCTGGGCCAACATAAAGTTCAATTCTTGCTATGTCATTCTTGTGTTAGTGGCTAATGTGGTGAGTTAGCAAAGGAAAAAAAATGTAAATTGATTATGAGTTTGAATTGATGTGGTTAGCTTTTTTTTTTTTTTTTTAATAATTTTTTTTATAAAATATCGAAGTTTATGGACCAATTCTATTTAAAATTTGATAAATTTAAGGGTTAAAGTATAATTAATCCTTTTTTTAGTTGCCATGTAAAAGGGCATCAAAGTCCGTTAGATATGCTCCGTTGGTAGAAAGGCTAATTTGCGCACCAATGGAGCAGTTTAAGGGCTTTTACATCTATTGTTTTATACAGACTGATGTGAGAAAATAGACAGAGTTGAGGGACTTAACATCGAGTTGCCTTTCTTTTATGTGGAAAAAGTTTGACAACATTTTTCCCAGATGTGTAACACCGAACCTTTGACAAAACAAGAGTTTTATTTTTATTTTGAGTTGTAAAAGGGGTCACAATTCTTTTCTCTACAAGTCTTTTGCATATCGTAGTCCCAAAATTTTATCTATAAGTATTTTATATGTTGTTCTCTAATTTTTTTAGAAAATTTATTTAAAAATTGATTTTTAATTAATATTTTTAAAAATTAACTGTTAGATTAATAGTTCTATTTATATAAATCATGAATGTTAACTTTTAAATTGATTTAGTAGGAATCTATTTGTTGATTATAAAAAATTCAACACTATTAAATATATATTAGTAAATGAATTTATTTTAATAAAAAAATTATAAACGTTAAATCATTATAAAAATTAAAATGCATGAATTACATGATTTGAACTTGCAATTCTATTGTTGGATTTTGAAAATATTAATTAGAAAATAAGTTTTGAAAATGTTAATTAAAAGGTAAGTTATTTAGATAAGTCCTAAAAAAACCCTTATATGATGACCCACACTTCACTGATACCATATATATAATATTAGTGTTTATTAGTTAGACTAACAGAAAATTATGTGAAAAAACATTTCAAAATTATATCGTTTTAATAAAAGACATCGATAGAGACACAATTAGATTTAATATACTTTACAACACATTTATAAAAAAAAATTACTATTTTTCAGTTTGTAATTAAAGGCAAAAAACTTAAAAATGCATCCATGCATACAGAGGAACTAGTTAAATTAGTTGTACTTATATTTTATTTCATTGACTAAACTGACAAAGTGTTGGCATATGCATTAAATCGAAAGGTGTTTGAATTTTTTTTTAATAAAATAGCATGAGAAAATATTTTTAAAAAAGGGACAATGATTGGTACATATTCTGGTTCAACACAGTGTGTGATGTACTTATTAAAAAATTATTATTTTTTATTTTGAAATTAAAAAAAAATAAGTTTAATTATATAATTATGCACACATGATATAAAAATCGGTTAAATTGATTGTATTTATATTATATTTTTAATGACTAAACCAAGAGTGTGTCAAAAAATATGTTAAACTGAGAATATACTAATCATTTTTCTAAAAAAAAAAAGTAGGTTATTTGAGTTTTTTCAATAAAAATTTATTAAAAAAACATAATTTTGAAATGTTTTTCCACCTAATTTTTCATAAATCCAATTGATATATATATATATATATATAATGCGCATCAATCTTACTCACATAAAAGGTTAAATGCTAAATTTGGTCCCTCAATAATTTTTTGCACTTTTTTGATCCTCAACTTTAAGAAATGCACACGTTAGTTCTTCTGTTAATTTTGACCGTTAATTCCGCTACGTGGCATTTTTTATATTTTTTTTGATGACATGGCAAAAATAACTTTTAAAAGTGTTGATCTGGATTTTTTTTTGATGACATGTCAACGCCACCTCATAAACTAAATTTGCCTTAATAAAAAAATTTAAAAATTATAAATTTACCTTAATACCCCTGTCTCCTCTTTCGATACATCTTCCCCTCTTTCGATCCATCTTCTTCCTTTCTTTTATCTTTTTCTTTCTTTCTTTCTCTTCTTCCTCTTCTTCCACCAAACCCAGCAAACTGGGTTCAACGGAACCCAGTTGCTGGGTTTTTGAACCCAGTTTGCTGGGTTTGACGAAACCCAGCAAACTGGGTTCCACGAAACCCAGATCTGCTGGGTTCGACGAACCCAGCAACTAGGTTCCACTGAACCCAGCTCAGGTTTGATTCTTTTGCTTCATAGGCTGATGAAAAAACCTTCATTGTCATGGTTCAGTAGGATGCCAAACCCTTGAGATTGAGCTTTTTGATTCAGTAGGATGTCATGAAAAAACCTTCAAGGAAT